CCCTAACCCATTCAGGGGTAAATCTTCTTTCTTCTACTCTTTCTTCTTGAGCTCTCTGGTTTCCTTTCACAGTGGTTTTAGTTACTGTGGAGGTAATAATTGGAGCTAAGGGAAGTGGCTTCTGCAATTCTTCCAGCTCCTCGTTTAATGGTTTGTAGAGTTCCAGAAAGTGTTCTTTAGACTGAGTAATCTTCATAACCAAGAGGACCTAAGTTCTCTTCATCCAATTCCACCACTTCATTATTTCCAGCTTTTATTGTAGCTATTATTCCTTTGCTTGCTCTTAATTCCTCCTTTAATGCGCAGTTCTGTCTTTACAAACTGCATGATTTAGTTATTTCTTTTCTTCTCTGTTTGAGAGTACCACTCTCATTGCAGCTTGTCTGTCCATCACTTTCTGCTTCCATTTTTCAACTTCTTTCATTTATTTGTTTATTTTATTTAACTCATTTTGTGACTCAACAATCTGTACTTTTTGAGTCAACAGTTGCTCTTAATATATCAGCTTCTGCTTTTAAATTAGCTAATTCCTTGTTCTTCATCTTTTCCCCCCCGTCTTTAGGTCTTGTATTTTGTTTATTAATCTATCTATTTCTTCATCAGTAGTACAGTCCACAAGCTGTAACCCTTGTAAAGCTGCTTGTTTTTAATTCTTTTTGCTTAGTTCTCCTGAGAAAAAAACATTTCTCTTGGGTTGAATCCATTGTTCCCATTGCCTGCACAGTTGCTGGTAAGCACCAGGCCCAACAAATGCATTCTCCTTCCAAGGATCATGACCTACCTTTTTAACAAAATCTTCTAAGCTGTTTCCCAGCATTATTTCTAAAGTATTATAATGCCTTGTTTTCCCTTTTGTCATCATGCTGACACTACCCGCTTGGCCAGGTAATGATCTCCAATGTATAATTACAACCCCGGTCACCCGGGTTTGTAAGCTTCCTCAAAGCTCACAAACTGCTGCCAATCTTACTGACCAGGTAATGGTTTCCGGGTACAACCTTGGCCACACCTGAGTGGTAAGTTGTTCGCAAACTTACACTCCACTCCCAGTCCTTCAAAATCTTACTTGCCAAGTAATGGTTTTGGGCATAGAATAATCCCAGCCACACCTGAATCGTAAGTTCTTTAACCAATTTATGTACTGCTGCAAGCGGTTAGCCAAATATTGACCCAAGTTCCTACCTTTTTCACTTACTACAATCGTAGTTAATCGGCAAGTTAGCTCTGCCTCTCAGGCACCAATCCTTACACAGGCTGTGATCGCCTGTTACTTGGACGACCACTTCTGGCCTCTTATACCACCAATCTTATCCTTGCTCAGGACTAGGACTCCAGTGATCTCAGCAATGAGTTTCTACAATTCCCTTGGAATAAAGTCTGCCTCCTTCCAGCTTCTGTTGTTGGTGCTTGACTTTATCTGAGTTTGTGGGATAAAGTCTGCCTACCAAGGCCTTCCTATCCTTGGTGCCCGACCCCAGAATCTGCCTCCCTTAGACCTTAGGTGCCCAATTTTGTCTCCTTTAGCTGAATTGTCATTCTTTTGGCCTAACTACCTTTATTCAAGCTATTCTGACAGATCAAAATCTGGGTTGCGATCCTTGATTTGCACTTGCAATTTTATCTTTTACACTTAACCTACAACACTATACTGACCCTTCCACCAGCCCTATTCTAAGCTCCCTGATTTTATTGGGGTAATTCGCTCCAGCATCAATTGCACTGCTGACCCTTCCATCAGCTTAAAACATTTACCTGGGCTTCCTAATTCTATTAGGATTGCAGCGCCTGCATCAGTATAATCAACAACTATTCCTAATAGGTACCTTTCAAATCCTACAATAAAAGTCCTAAGCTTATCTTATAACTATATTCACTTACCTTCAATGTACTTCATCGAAAAACTGGTTGTTCTTAGAACAATCATGAAACAAACAACAGAGAAAAGAAAACAGAAAGAAAGGAAAGAAAGAAGAGAGAAAAAAAATCCTGCTTGGTGTCAATTTCCTCATATCCGATAGGGGGCACTGTAACCTCTTTTAGACCTTAAAATAATGCTTTCAAGTCTTAGGGTTTTAAATAGTGCCTCAAGCCCACCAATTCAGGGATGCCAATTTGTTAGCTCTCAAACTGGCATGGGACACTACAACTAGCTCCAGGATTCAAACAGTGCCTCGAGCCCACGCTTTCAGGGACACCAATTTGGTACCCCACAATATGGACCTCAAGCACTCCAATAATGGTTTGCCTAAGACTATGCAATTTGCTTTATCCAAAGGGGTGATAAGATGGTGGTTCACCCTAGAAGAATTGCCAGGGTGTTACCAGGGGGCTTATCTCCATCCCACAAAGGGCTCCCCAGAGCAAGCTAATCTTGCTAACCCTTGAAAGGACCTGGATACAGCCTTCTGCTCAAGGATGGACACACAAGCAGTAATTCTTTGAAAACAAAATAATATTTATTTAAAAGAAATCTGCTACTCAGCATGAACAAACCATTCAACCTTCTCTACCACAACTGCTTTGTTATAACAACAACAACAAGGAGTCTGGCGGCACCTTAAAGACTAACAGATTTATTTGGGCATAAGCTTTCGTGAGTAAAAGCCTCACTTCTTCGGATGCATAGAGTGAAAGTTATAGATGCAGGCATTATATACTGACACATGGAGAGCAGGGAGTTACTTCTCAAGTGGAGAATCAGTGTTGACAGGGCCAATTCAATCAGGGTGGATGTAGTCCACTCCCAATAAGAGATGAGGAGGTGTCAATTCCAGGAGAGGAAAAGCTGCTTCTGTAATGAGTCAGCCAGTCCCTATTCAAACCCAGATTAATGGTGTTGAATTTGCAAATGAATTTTAGTTCTGCTGTTTCTCTTTGAAGTCTGTTTCTGAAGTTTTTTTGTTCAATGATAGTGACTTTTAAATCTGTAATAGAATGACCAGGGAGATTGAAGTGTTCACTTACTGGCTTATGTATGTTACCATTCCTGATGTCCGGTTTGTGTCCATTTATTCTTTTGCGGAGGGATGTCCGGTTTGGCCAATGTACATGGCAGAGGGGCACTGCTGGCACATGATGGCATATATAACATTAGTGGATGTGCAGGTGAATGAGCCCTTGATGGTGTGGCTGATGTGGTTGGGTCCTCTGATGGTGTCGCCAGAATAGATATGGGGACAGAGTAGGCAACGAGGTTTGCTACAGGGATTGGTTCCTGGGTTGGTGTTTCTGTGGTGTGGTGTGTAGTTGCTGGTGAGTATTTGCTTCAGGTTGGGGGGTTGTCTGTAAGCGAGGACTGTTGAGACAGTCTGTTATGCTAGTTATGCAAGAATGGCATATCTGTGTCCACAGGTACAGAAGCAAGTTCACATAAATACTTTGCTTTGTCATTTATTGGACCAACTTCTGTTTGTCAGAGAGACAGCCATTGGTCCAATAAATGACATTACCTCATCCACTTTGTCTCTTTATCAGTCCCCATCTACCCTCCTAACTGCAAAAATGTTACTGTACCTTTTTACAACAAACACCAACCATTGGTGATTTATTCAAAAGGAAAAACTAAGGCATGGAGACGGTCCATCAGCAGTGATACTACAGCACCAATGTGATGTGTCTTAGCGAAAAGAATGTGTGGACATCTGAGCCCCTAGTGCCAGTGAAATTAGGGGAAAAGAAGGGGGATTAAAATATGCTGTCTGCATCTGAAGGTATAAGTGAAATAGTGTAGCCAAGATTAAGAACCAGTCCAGTAGCAATGCTGACTGCAAGGTATAAGGCAGGGGTGGGCAATAATTTTTGCAGGGATGCCACTCCACAACTTTTGGTAAGTCATCACGGGCCGCACATTTCTGCTATATTAATGGAGATGGTGCGGGTTTCTGGGAGGGAGTTCGAGTGCAGGAGGGAGCTCCAGGATGGTGCAGAGTGGTGGGGTGCAGGAGACGGTGAGGGGTGTGGGCTCTGGGAGGGAGTTTGGTGCAGGAAGGGGCTCTGGCCTGGGGTGCAGAAGGGGGTGCAAGGTCTGGGAGGGAGTTTGAATGCAGGATGAGGGTTCTGACTTGGGACGGGGTGTCAGAAGGGGTGCAAGGTGCAGGCTCTAGGTGGGAGGTGCTTACCACACTGCTCCTGGGAGCAGCTGCTGCTGGCACATCTCTGCGCACACCTTGGGGGGAAAGGGGCAGCGGATCTCTGTGCCCCGCAAGCACCGCCCCTGCAGCACCCATTGGGCATTTTCCGGTCAATGGGTGCTGTGAGGATGGTGCTGGGGACATGGGCAGCACACAGAGCTGCTTCCCCCGCAGAGGCGCACAGAGACATACCACCAGCAGCTGCCCACTTCCAGGAGTGGCATGGGTCCATGGCATGCAGGCAGCCTCCCTGAGCACCCTGCTGTGCCACTAGAGTCATGGCAGGCCAGACAGAAATGTTAGACGGGCTGGATCTGACCTGCGGACCATATTTTGCCACCCCTAGTATAAGGGCACAATTATGGCTGCATCACCTCCTGCAAGCAGTCTCTCCAGTGTTCATTTATTGCCCCTTCAGATTGGTAGTTTCTTGATCGGGACAGGGGAGAGCAGGTTCCTTCCCTAACCCTGCCAGCCCCTGCAGCTGCTCCTCAACCCCGCGCCTTTGTCCCGCTAGGCCAGGCCCCGTCCACTCCTGTTCTAAGCTACTCCCCCCGCCTTGTCTCTCACGTGCACAGCACTCACGTTCCCCCAGCCCTGCAGAGAGTCACTTCCCGATTGGCTGGGGCGACTCGTCATTTACATAGAATCTCAGGCTGAGGCTCCGCCCTCCCACTGAGGGTCGCAAAGATTCCCTGCGCCGTTCCGCGTTCCGTCCAATAGGAACGCTGGGCTGGCACTGTTGTTGCACGTGAGGGCGGTGCACGTGGGCCCGTTATGTAAAGGGCGTGTGGGGGTATAGGGGAACGCCACACAGGCGCGCAGGCGTGTGAGGTCAGTGTTCTGCGGAGGTAGGTGCGCATGCGCGCACGCGGCCCGTCCACTCCAGCCTAGCCCCGTCCTGGTCCTAGTACAACGACAATGAAGCAGCAGCAACAGCTGGCGGCCGCGAGCGCGGGTGTCCCGGCCTTCCTGAGCAAACTGTGGGCGCTGCTGGGGGAGGCGCCCAGCAACCAGCTCATCACCTGGAGCCAGGTAGGGCCCCCGCCCACGGAGACTGGGAACCCCCCCCCCCCCGGGGGCAAGGCCGCCCCCCCCCCCCCCCCCCCCCCACGGGAAGAAGAGGGCGGACTGAGCTGGGGAGACGGGCACGCAGAGGAGAGGAGCCGCTCGGGGCGGCCGCGCCTCCCTCCCCATAGCCTGACGCCCTCCCCAGGGCCTTGTGCCCCCCCCCCCGGGCCTAGTGCGTCCTGCACTGAGGGGGGCAGAGCCGCCGCCCCCAGGAGTAGCTGGACTGAGAGCCCCCGCCCCGAGCACAGAGGGGCCCGCAGCGCCTTGCCCGCTCGCGGGGGGGCCAAACCTGGAACCTCCCTCAAGCCAGGTCCCTTCCTTTCCTGTCGGTGACCCAGAAACTCCTCGTGCGTGTCCGCTCCCTCTCCCCGGCCCCGAGCTGCCGCCGCTCGGCGGGGGACGGGCGGGGGTTTCTGGGTTTTGGGCACCGACCTGGCCTTGTTCAGGGAGTAGATTTACACCGCGTGTGCGTTGGAGAGTTCCGCTCCGCAGCGGGTTCAGTCTCCTGCCCGCACCCCACAGGCTAAAGTTTTGGTGGGGGGTGAGGGGCTGGAGACGAAAGGGCTGCTTACCCCAGATCAGCAGGTTCCCGCTTTCAGGGGTGGCCTACACAATGGCGGGGAGGGGCTCTGAGCTTTTAGAGGAGATTGTGTGGCCTTCTTCTGGGGTGGATAGGTGGTGGTGGGGCACAACTGGAGTCTGAAGGTGATTTGGTTTCTTAAAATGTTTTAGTGAGAGACTTTTAGCTGGAACTTAGAGAGTTTCCAGGTTTCTGTCTTTCTCTCTCCGTGTCCCTACTCCATAGCAGTTTTAATTTTATTATATGATGATGCTTATTCACACCTTTGCTTCCAGTTGCGAGGGTAGGACCACAGGAGGAGAGGTTGCCTATACAAACTTACTGAATATCTATTCTTATAAAGTGTTTTTCTCCTTAGCTTGATAAGGATGTAGGAATTAGTTGTCCTATCTCTTCCACATGTAAACATAATCGTCAACTCTAGTAGCTTGGAAAATGGTCTTTGGTGTGTGATCAATAAATGTAGAGTTTCAGTCATCCATATAAGTGCATACGAGTGTTGATGCTTGTTGGCAATGAGAGGAAGGAACTAGAAGGATGTGTAATTTAAAAAAAAATCACATGAGGGTGGTGCTCCCCTTTAGTTAAAGCAGCGGTTCTCAAACTGTGGGTTGGGACCCCACATTAATGGGGTCACCTGGGCTGGTGTTAGGCTTGCTGGAGCCCAGGGCTTAAGCCAAAGCCCGATTCCCACTACCCTGGCTTTGGCCTGGGGCGGCTGGGCTCAGGCTTTGATCTCTTCCTCCCCCCCCCCCCCGTCGTGTAGTAATTTTTGTTGTCAGAAGGGGGTCACAGTGCAATTAAGTTTGAGAACCCCTGAGTTAAAGGAGTGTTAAGGGACCAGTAAGCACTTTTATTCTCAAGTTCTTTTACATTTTGCCAGTCCTACCACTAAGGCCTTGGTTACACTTGCAGATGTACAGCACTGTGAGTTAAACCTGACTTCGTGCAGCTGAGTAGGGAAAGTGCTGCAGTCTGTCCACACTGACAGCTGTCCAGCGCACTGTCATGGCCACATTTGCGGCAATTGCAGCGCTATTGGGAGTGGTGTATTATGGGCAGCTATCCCACAGAGCACCTCTTCCCATTCTGGCGCCGTGGGTTGTGGGAAGGGGGCGTAAGTACGGGGCATGCTGGGTCCTGTCCCAATGCCCCGTGATGCATCGCTTCGCATCCCAGAAATCCCTTTGTTTCCGTCCACCTTTGGCGCCATCTTTCAACAGTTTCTGTGCAGCATGATCTGTCTGCGGGAAATGGAGCCCGAACTGCTGAGGCATATGCTGACTTATCTCGCCAGCACGTCACGTTTGGCTGTCGAACTATTCCTTAAGATCTAAAGTGACAGTGAGAGTGAGGAGTCCGACGATGCTATTGAGCCGCGTAACGCGTACGACACGAAATTGCTTGTGGCATTCACGGCCATGCTCAGCACCATGGAACGCCGCTTTTGGGCTCGGGAAACAAGCACCGAGTGGTGGGATCACATCGTCATGGAAGTCTGGGATGACGAGCAGTGGCTGCAGAACTTTCAGATGAGAAAAGCAACTTTCATGGGACTGTGTGAGGAGCTTGCCCCCACCCTGCGACGCAAGGACACGAGATTGAGAGCTGCCCTGCCAGTGGAGAAGCGGGTGGCTATTGCAGTCTGGAAGCTGGCAACTCCAGACAGCTACCGGTCGTCGCAAACCAGTTTGGAGTGGGAAAGTCGACCGTTGGAATTGTGTTGATGCAAGTTTGCAAGGCCATTAATCGCACCCTACTCAGAAGAACCGTGACTCTGGGTAACGTGCAGGACATAGTGGATGGCTTTGCACAAATGGGGTTCCCGAACTGTGGAGGGGCCATAGATGGGGTGCACATTCCTATTCTGGCACCACCCCACCTAGGATCCGAGTACGTTAATCGGAAGGGGTATTTCTCTATGATTCTCCAGGCGCTTGTGGATCACCGTGGGCTTTTCATTGACATTAACACAGGCTGGCCCGGAAAGGTGCATGACGCCCGCATCTTTCGAAACACTTGGCTGTTCAGGAAGATGCAGGCTGGGACTTTTTCCCAGAGCGGAAGATCACGGTAGGGGAAGTTGAAATGCCCATTGTGATCCTTGGAGATCCCGCTTACCCGTTAATGCCGTGGCTCATGAAACCCTACACAGGGAGCCTTGACAGCAGCAAGGAACGGTTCAACTACAAGCTGAGCCAGTGCCGAATGACTGTGGAGTGTGCCTTTGGCCGTTTAAAGGCCCGCTGGCGATCTCTGTATGGGAAGCTGGACTTGGCCGAAAACAGCATCCCCGCGGTTATATCTGCGTGCTGTGCCCTCCATAATATTTGTGAAGGGAAGGGTGAAAGCTTCACTCAGGCATGGACCTCTGAGGCTCAACACCTGGAGGCTGAATTTGCACAGCCAGAGAGCAGGGCTGTTACAGGGGCCTAGCGCGGGGCTGCAAGGATTAGGGATGCCTTGAGGGAGCAACTTGAGGCTGAAAACCAGCAGTGATATCTGGTGCCCTGCACGGGAGTGAAGTGCAGTAGTTCCAGTCTTTAGGCATCAGTGTTTGCTAAGCAGACTTGCAGTGCCTGTTTATTTCCTGGGCTAAGGAGTCTCTTACTTTATGCAATAATAAAGAATGTTTTCAAAGCCAAAAAATCCATTTATTGAAAAGAAACAAGGGGGTGGAGTGGGGAACAGTACAATCACAGATTCGTGTATGTCCTGTCTGATGTGCTGTGCAGGGAGTGCTGCACTTCAGGATAGCTATACTGCATGGTGATGGGGGTTGAGTGCAGAGGGTAAGGGTCATGGTTTTCAGGGCTGGGTGGTGAAGATACTGGTGTTGGAGGCAGCGAGTGGCGTGAAGAACACAGAAGTTGGGGAAAGTGGGTTGGAGGTGACAGTGGGGCACAACGGAAAGAGTTTTGGGACAAGGGCTGTGGGGGGGTGGGGTGGCGTTTGCGGTACTGCTCCTCTTTCTGCATGGCTATGAGCTCCTGGATAGCGTCTGCTTGGCACTCCAGGATGCTTATGAGCCGATCAGTGCTTTGTTGCCGGTGCGCGGTGCATTTTCCCGGCGGATCCTGCTTTCTCTCTCCCTCAGTTCTGTGCTTTCTCATTCTCTTTAATAGATTGCCGCATCACTTCTTGCAGCATGTCTTCTTTGCTTTTTCGCAGTCTCTTCCTGAGTCTTTGCAGCCTCTGAACAGGCGATAAGAGGGACGTCTGAGGTCTCAAGGTTGATGCAGCTGTATAGGCAAAATGCAACATTTAACAGAGGCAGCATTGTTTATACCAGACAGAGTAATGATTCCCCCCGCACTTAAGGAGTAGAAAACACACAGGGTCTACACAATAGCATAATTTTCCCATCCGAAACAGAGCACACCTATCCCACGGGAGCCTCAAAATGGTGAGTAAGGGGGACTGATTGTTTCAGGGCTGCACTGTCCTCTAGGTTTCTGTGCCTTGGGGAGAGCCAACAGCTTCAGGGGACGCCTACGCTGAACACTGTCCCAACATTTTCCACAGGAGTTCGTCCTGGACGATATCTCGCTGCTGAGGGTGACCTGGGAAGCAAGGGAGGGTCTTCTACTGCAATACGGCTTCCGCCCTGGCCCATATGCAGCTTGCCTGTGTGCAGCAATGGTCCCCCCGCCCCTCGCGGCACAGTGGCGCGGACACGTTAGCCTGGCTGGGACAAGGACCACGGTGGCTCTCCCGATAAACCTGTGCAAGCGCATTGCACATGTTCTGGATGAGACATTCGAGGAGATTACCGAGGCCGATTACTGCGATGTGATAAACCACATCAATGCACTATTCCGCATCTAGGCATGCATGCCTAACCCGCCTCTCCCAAAGAGCCCGCACCGAAAAAATTCCTTCCCGAAAAAAAAAAAACGGGAACTTGCTCTTCTGTTTGTCCTCCACCAAGTACCGGCTGCTGCGACTGACTACCTTCCTCCTGGCTCGAGAAGAGCTCCTGGCTGCATGGCTCCAGGGATTCCGGGGTGTCTCCATCCGGCCCACCACCACCATCACTCCCGTTTACTTCCTCCTCCTCCTCCTCCCCTCCCCTCCCCTCCCCCACCGGTTCTGAAGTGTCCATGGTGGTGCTCGGAGTGGAGGTGGGGTTAACCCCAAGTATTGCATCCAGCTCTTTGTAGAATCGACAGGTCGCAGGGGGAGCACCCGAGCGGCCGTTTGTGTCACGGGCTTTGTGGTAGGCACTCCGCAGCTCCTTCACTTTAATCCTGCACTGCAGGGCGACCCTGTCATGGCCCCTTTCCATCATGTCCTTTGATACCTTCCCGAAGGTATCGTAATTCCTACGGCTGGAGCGCAGCTGGGACTGTACAGCTTCCTCCCCCCAAACACTGAGGTCCAG